AAGACGAGGGGCGTGTTGTGGACCCGCCCCTTGTGTTTAAAAGGGGTTGATTTTGAGGAGATATGGAGCCCTAGATGGAGAAAACCTTGGATAGAGCCATGGAGTGAGACATATAGAGAGCCTTGGATTGAGAGAGAGAGAGAGCCCGCGGAATGGAGTCGAGAGAAGGAGAGCCCTGGATGAAAAACTTGATGTAGTACCCTAGATGGAGAAAACTGAAGAGGAGCCCTGAAAAGAAAAGGGATTAGCGAGTGCCTTTCTGAAAAAGGATTGAACTCCCGTGAAATTGTCTGTCCTCCCGGCTTAGCATATTTATTGGACTTTTTATAGTAACCTGTGAAGCAAATAAATACTGCTTTAATTTTAAAATGAGGCTGTGACAACTTTTCTTGTTTGCTAACTACTCACGAAGTTACAACGTCATGGACGTACCGCTGAGATGTCATTGCGTCATGGATCAATATTTGCAGGTGACCATGTATTGTAAGCAAAGGAACCCCTTACCATCTAGGGTTTCTGATTTCTCGAGTTTTTCCATTCCCGGAAATGTCTCGGAAATCCCGGAACGTAATTATCGTTGTCAAAATTTCCGAAAATGCGTTATAATTTCAAATTTTTTTTTTTAAAAAAAGGTTATTTTTAAAGAAAATCAATAATAATTATATAAAATAAGGATACAAAGAAATTCCAAAAGTAATATTTATATATAATGAGGTAAAAATTAGAAAAAATATACACAATAAATTGATTATTCATTTTTAAGTCTTGTTCCTATCATTTGGGATTGTCTAACCAAACAGTTTTTACTAAGCAATCGTGAAATATCGACATTAACTGCAGCTGTTTCGCATTTTCTCCCAAAATTCAGATATTGCATTAATCTTATTAAATTAACGTTGCTTCTCTCATTAATTCTTTGGATTATAGAATATTTCATATTTTTCGCAAATTCTGAATTTTGTTCGTTCAATTCTCCAAAAAAAAAACGAAAGAAAATACACCTTCCACAGTTTGTAAAGTTGCATTTCGACAGCGTAATTTTTCTAAGCCAATTTTTACTGGCTTTAAGCATGCTACAATTGTAGTCACAGTTTCAAACTTTACATTGGC